GGGGGGGGGGGGGGGGGGGGCGGGGGGAAGGGTTTTCTTCCCCCCCCCCCCCCCCGATTCTCCAGCTGACATTCTACCGTCTGCCTTGTTGCATGTCTGTTCTCTCCGTATGTCCCCTTCTGTCTTTTTCTGCTCATTAGAAAGACAAATCCCAGTTCAGCCGGGTGTCCCCCGTGGCAGGCTGTGGTTTTGTGGTTTCAGTGAAAGTTAGCACCTTGATTTGTTCCTACTTTTGATTGCACACTGCAGTCAGCTCCGTTTTCTCTGCTGCAGCATTTGATGTGTCCCAGGTCAGACCCTCATAGCTAGGCAGGAGTGGGAACCGTTTCTGTTGACTTCAGCAGATTGGGTCCGGAGCCTCCCAAAACGGTCTGGCGGATTCTGGGGGTACAAGTAGGGGCTCTTCAGGGCCTCACTGCTCTCAGGGCCTGTGTGGGAACAGGCTCTGGTGGTCGCATGTTAGGTCTGGGGAGAGCAGATGCAGGGGAGTGGGCCCAAGGGAAGGCGAGCCCTCCCCACCTCCCCACCCCCCTGCCAACGAGACCCAGGACAGGGGCCCAGAGGCTGCATGTTAAGCCTGAGACAGCAAGGAGTTAGAGCAACAGGCTCTGCCCTGGCAGGTAGGATGACCAGGGAATGCTGCTGGTCGTCTCAGGGCCTCAGACTCTGTGTGGTGAGAAGTGGCTGGCATCACTATGACTTTCCTGTCACTGTTGTCTGCATTGTCACTGGATGGACAGCCAAGGTTTTCCTCCCCAGAGACACCTATGGCCCTACGCTGCCGCAGGTCTTCCTACCTGGCCTGCTCCTGTTCCAGGGAGGCAGATGCAGCAGCTCTGAAGTGGCCTCTTCCCTCAGGCTTCCCTGCTGGTGTTCTCCCAGCTCTTCCCCCCCTCTGAGAGGATTCTGTCTCTGGGTGGGCTCTCCTCACTGGCCAGCTGCCTCTCGTGGAACCTAAATTTGATGTGCCATGTTTGTCTCCTTTCTGCTCTGGTTGCTGGTGCCTGGAGCCAAGCTGGCACACAGTAGGTACTCATTGCCAGTTTATTGAATGCAGAGGTATGGGACCCCCAGAGACTGGAACCCCTGATGCCCACAACACAGCAGGGGGCTGGGACATCTGGGGCTGCCCACAGGCTTGCACAAGCCGGCCCTCTGAAGGATTTGGTATGGGGGAAGGGGCTGATCAAGGGGCCCAAAAGAGACCAGCAGGATTGCAGGTGGCCTGCGGCATGTCTGATAGTTTGAAGGGTGAGTGTGGAGAAGGGTCTCTGTCCCAAACCCATAGGCCCATCCTAGAGCATTGACCAGATCCCCTCAGGCCCTTGTAAAAGCGGGGAGGGTGTCACCTGTATGGTGCTTCCTGTGTGTGAGGATATCACCTGTGGGGCACTTCCTGTGGGGTGTCACCTTAGGGACACTTCCTGTGGTATGAGAGTGTCATCTGGGGGGCTCTCTTCCTGTGGGGTGTGAGGGTGTCACCTGGGGGCCACTTCTTGTGTGGTGTGAGAGTGTCATCTGGGGGTCTCTTCCTGTGGGGTGTGAGGGTGTCACCTCGGGGGGCACTTCCTATGGGGTATAGAGTGTCACCTAGGGGGGACACTTCCTGTAGGGTGTGGGGTGTCACCTGGGGGGCTACTTCCTGTGAGGTATGAGGGTGTCATCTGGAGGGTACTTCGTATGGGGTGTCACCTGGGGGCCACTTCCTGTGGCATGTGAAGGTGTCGCCCAGGGGCCACTTCCTATGAGGTATGAGGGTGTCACCTGGGGGACCACTTCCTTTGGGGTGGAGGGCGTCACTTTGGGAAGCACTTCCTGTGGGGAAGGCTCCTGTGGTCTCTGGCCCCCAGCCCAGGGCACTCAGTGTTAAAGAGAGTCCTGGTCTCAGAGCAGGGCTCCAAGGGCAGCCCCAGGAAGGGCTTGGCACCTACTTTCTGCTAGAGCTTGATGAGGCTCCACACTGAGCTGAATTGGCCTCTACCCTGTTACTGGCTGAGAGACTCACTCATTCCTGTCCCCCAGTGGTAACAGGCCTGTACCAGCCATCTCTCACCTATTTCCCTTCATTTCCCCTTTGAGGGGAGGCTCTTTCCCACTGAGGTGTGGCCCTAGCTTGATATTCTGCTCAGGTAGGGGATCACCTCCATGTAGGTGCTGCCATAAGCCCAGGACCCAGCCCTCAGCGCAATGTGGTCCTGTGGGGTGTCCCCACCAATTAACTGGCTTTCTCTTCCTCTCCCTGCAGAAGGACATGGCTCTGAAGCCACATGAGCGGAAGGAGAAGTGGGAACGTCGCCTCACCAAGAAGCCCCGGGAGTCAGAAAACTGCCCATCTGCAGAGCCGAGTGAGAATGGGCGGCCCCTGGAGGCAGGCAGCCCTGGGCAGGACGTAGAGCCTGCCTGTGCTGGGGGGGCCAAGAAGGTCCCGCTGCAGCCCTCCAAGCAGGTGAGCATGGGACCCTCCCCTACTCGGGAACTCTGCTACAGGGTCTGTACCCACCTCCCCAGGCACCCCAGGGACCACACCAACACCTGGACACCACCCGTCACCATGTGGCCTGCCTGGCAAACGCCCTCCATCGTTGCTGGGCTGGGGTATGGGGCAGAGCAGGGGCAGGTGCCGTCCGCCCGCGGGGCTGCAGCTGGAGAGAGGCCTGCTTGGGGCTAGTGCTGCGCCTCTCCCAGGAACAGGAACACTGGTGAGGGGCGTGTGCTGGGCTCTGGGCAGAGACATGCCAAGCTGGTAGGCTGGCCCCGTTTCCCCGCTGCGTCTGTCAGGTTCCGCCGACCGTGGGGTGTCCAGCGTGTCCGTGAGGAGTGCCGAGCGCACTCCTGCTGCACACGCAGCACTGTCTGCTACACCACGCGATATGAGGAGGGGACCACTCAGCCCCATGGTGGCCACAATCACATGACTTGTGATTGGTGGTCCAGGGCTCTGCCTGCCCTGCCTGGGGACCTTCCTGCCTGGATAGGGTCAGGGCTGAGACCAGGAAGGGGCTGTCAGAGCAGGTGGAAGCTTGGCGCCAGAGGCTTCCCCCAAGCGTGGGGTTCTATCCTGGCTGACCCATCAGCTGCTTTCCTCCTTGGGGACCCACTGGTCTGCGCCTTCTTTTCAGACAGGGGCTCGTCTTGGTGTTTCAAGCTACACTTTCAGCTCCTTTGGGAAGTGGGCTGCTAGAGAGGGGGCAGCATGTCTCAGGGGCCTGGGCTGGATGGGGGGGGTCTGCAGGCACACCTGCCCAGGTGGACACGTGCTCTTTCTTCCATGCAGGTGTGCTCCCCAGAAGGGGGGCCGCTCCCAGCCAACCACTGGGACCAGAACGGCCCGGCCCAACGCCAGCAGCAGCTCCAGCCCAGCCAGCCCAGCCAGCCCCAGGGGTCCCTCCCAGCCCCGTCGGTACTCCCGGACCCCGGGCAGCCCTGCCAGCCCCAGCGGCCACTCCCGGGTCAGCACAGCTGGCCTCAGCAGTCACTTCTGGGCCTGAGACAGCCCTGCCAGCCCCGGCGGTCACTTCTGGGCCCTGGTCAGCCCTGCCGGCCCCAGCGGTTGCCTCCGGCCCCAGATCAGCTCTGCCGGCCCCAGCGGTCACGCCTGGCTCAGCCCTGCCGGCCACATTGGACTCTCCCAGGCCCCAAGCAGCGCTGCCGGCGCCTGCGATCCCTCTTGGCCCCCTGCCTCCACTGCCGGCCCCTGCGGTCCCTCCTGGCCCCGTGTCACCGCTGCCGGCCCCTGCGGTCCCTCCTGGCCCCATGTCACCACTGCCGGCCCCTGCAGTCTCTCCTGGCCCCGTGCCTGCACTGTTGGCCCCTGCGTTCATGGGCCACCCCATGTTTCTGTGGCCAGCCCAGTAGGGCTTCTTCAGGACAGCGCCGGCCCCTGCGGTCCCTGCTAGCCCAGTGCCAGCAGTGCCAGCCCCCACGGTCACTCCTCACCCTGCGACCACGCCGCCGGCCTGCCAGCACCCTCTCAGGCCAGTGCTGCTGCCCCCGGCGGGCACTTGTAGCTCCACACAGCCAGCCCCGCAGGTCCCTCCTGGGCCAGCCCAGTCGCCCCCAGCGGTCACTCCTAGGCCTAAGTCAGCCCCAGCAATTAGTCGAAGCCCCAGAACAGCCTGTCCAACCCAAACCTCCACTGCTGGGCCCAGGACAGCCATGCCAACAAAAGCGACCGCTCATGGGCCCAGAACAGCCCTGCCAGCCTCTGCGGTCACTTCTGGGCCCAAGCCAGCCCTGCAAACCCCAGCCATTACTTCCCATCCCTGATCGCCCTTCACTCCTGGGACAGCTGGGTCCACCCCGCCGGCCTCTCCTAGGACCCCCATGCCAGCCACGGCGTTCCCTGTTGGATCTGGTGCCAGCCCGTCAACCCCAGCTTTCACTCCTGGCCCTGGGCCGTCCCTGCCGGCCCCTAAGGTCACGTTGGACCCGATCCTCTGCCCCTGGGGTGGCCCGCCATGCCCCGTCTGTGAGCCCTGGAGCGTGATGCCCTGAAGGTACCTCCCTGGATGCAATTTCCAGACCTCCCCAGTGTGGGAGGCGGGCTGGCAGGGCCCAAGTGCCAAGGCCACTTCGCTTCTGGGCCTGGGAGGCTTTGCCGGACTAGGCTGAGGCCTTCTTCAGACAGGGCCAGGCTGTTTGCTGTTGGAAACCGAGGCTCAGCCAGAGGCAGGAGCCCCCGCAGTGCCATGATCAGGCCAAGGCCCGCTGCACCAGGAGGAAAGGACACGGACCCCAGCATCTTCCCACCCTGCCATGCCCCCCCCCCAACTGGTGTCCCAGCCTTTTGGTGTCACCATGTCCGCACATACGTGTGCTGCTTTGTGTTGTACATGCCCCTGGGAGAGGGAACACAGCTACCCCAAGGGCTTGGAGCTTGCTGGGGGGGTCCCTCAGCGTCTTTCTGTGCCTCTAAATTGCCAACACTGTCCTTGCATTTCTGAGTCTCCATCACGCCCATCCCAGGCAAACCACCTGTGCAGTTGTCGTGTGTGGGTGTGTGTGTGTGTGTGTGGTGTGCACATATGTACAAGTGTATGCCATGTGCTCCTTTGTGTGGTATGCATGTACACATGTGCATATGCAGTGTGTGTGGCATGTTCGCCACTGTGTGTGACGTGTGTGCGCCTCTGCATGGGCATGTTTGATTGTGGGGGAATGGGAAGGCTGGCCCAGGCCGTGCTCTCCCTGGGCCCCACCCCATCTGGCCAACACACATCCCCTACACCCAGGCAGAATAGCCTAATGCAGATTTGTCGAGATGTGGGTTCCCCCGAAGCTGGGCTTCGGGTTCCAGCCTCTCCCCTCTGGCAGTCGAGCAAGGCTGGTGTCCACTCCAGGGTCCTGAAGCTGCAGGAGGAGCACAGTCAGGGCCGGCTGGTGGATTAGGAGCTGCTGGTGAGCGGAGCCTCCCACCCCCACCTCTTAGGGCTCTGCCTCCACCCACTGTGGATATGTACTGAAAGGGGGGCTGTTGGGTCTGCAGACAAGGAGAGCTTCAGGGTTGGGTGTCCAGGGCCATGCTTGGGAAACCATTTCCCCACGGCCCCTGGCCACATTCTGTCTGGCTGTTGGCTACCCCATCCCAGTCAGACCTCACTACAGGGCTCCCTCTGGGCCTCACCTCCACCCATTCCCTTGCTCCCCTGTGGTTAGGGGTCACCCACTCCTCGCCCCAGATCCTGGTCTCAAGTCTGCTGGAGGCACAGGCACAGGAGCAGGTGTCTCCAGGGAGTGGGGAAGAGCCTTGGCGATGACTTTGTGTCCAGACCTCCAGGGACCGTGTGTATCACGGCGCCATTTCCAGAGAGCAACACTGGCCACCTGGGCTGAGGAGCCAGGAGGTCTCGGCCAGGTACCTGCACAGTGCTTTATGCACTTGGTCTCATCTGGCTGAATGGCAACTACTTGTACTACCTGCTCATGGACAGAAGGGAGGAAGGTACCCCTGATTTCTAGGCCCAGGCTGTCTGCTGGTTCCCAGCCCCCCACAGGCTCTCCAGGGGTCCTGACCAGGCTCTGGGAAGTTCTGACCAGCCACAGCCTGGTGTCCCTGGCCCTCTCCCCCGCCCCCCCGCCAGGGCATCTCTGAGCCCCCCACCCTGGTGCAGGCCCCTCCTCTGGTGCTCGCCTGGGGCCTCCATCCTGGAAATGCGGGCTTATTTTTCTTATAAAAGAAAATAAAAAGTGCCGTGGCATTATTTTTTATAATAGTATTTCCATTTATAATTTAAACAGATGAGCTTGTCTCTTATGTGATTTCTTTCAACAAGTGGTTTTTATACATCTGGACTTGGCTCTCGATTATTAAATTCTGGCTGAACAGAGGGGAGGCCTGGGAGCCTATTCTTGCCTACCCTGGCCCTCCCTGTCCTGACTGTGCTCAGCATGGCAGGGGCTTTGTCCTCCAGACCCCTAATTTAGGGGCCTCTGGGCCTGCCCAGGGCATGTCTAGGGGTTGCAGGGGGGTGTATGTCAGGACTCCTTTCGGGCTCATCCTGTGGGGGGCCATCCACCCTGGGGTGGGTGCTCTGGGGATCCACCCCCCTGCAGGGAGTGTGGGGCTCCTGCAAGAGTTGAAACCACTCTGATCCTGCCCCTCACTAGACAAGCACAGAGGGAGGGAGCAGGGCAACACCCTCAGTGCTTGGCACTGCTTGTGTGCACGGCGCCTGCCATGGGCGCTCCTGTCCTCCATGGAAGGAAATCTAGGGCCCAAGTCCTGCTGAGCTGGACTCAGCACTTAGCGGGGGTTTGAGGGGAGTTCCCATCTTGCCATACTTGCCTGTGAAGTTGCTCTGGCAGCTTCTTTGCATCACTGAGGTGCCCCTGCAGGCGGCTCTGCCTTGTGAAGGGGCTGAGGTCACATTGCAGCATTCCCTGTGCTTAGACACTGAGGGGGGTGGTGGTTTAAGCCGCCCCCCCACCTGCTGTTTCCGTGGGGCCATCCCTCCAGTTCAGGTCCCTCCCTGCATGCTGGGGGGGTGGGGGGTCTCTCTTAGTGTGCGTGTCTGCTGAGATGGGGGAAGAGGCCATCTGGATACAGAGACTTTCTGGGCTGGGAGTGCTGACTGAAGCGCTTGGCTGCCCCTTAGTGGGGGAGACCAGACTGACAGTGGGCAGACTGCGGGGCGGGGGGGTGGAAACTGCAGCTACCTAGGCTGGCCCCACCCAGGTCCCCATGGCCCAGGGAGGGGGTGGGATGTGGGGGACACCTGCTGAGTACGCCACTGGGAACCTGGCCTGGGTGAGATATCCACAGCTGGCCTCAGGCTTGAGGTGCCACTGGGGAGGGTGCAGCTGGAGCCTTCAGGACCCTGAGGGGCCAACCATGTGTCAGCTACACCTTCCATGTCCTGGGGGTCCAGGGTTCTTGGGGAATCCTGCTGCCAGGTGTCGTTTCTGGGAAATGCCATTCTTTGTGGCTGGGTCTTTGAATTTTCTGAGCAGCAAGAAACATGAGTATTTCAGTGGATTTGCAATTTTGAAATGTTGGCTAATTCTAGTTTTTATGACTTGCCTTGCTGAACAAAGGACACAGCTGTGGGAGCCCTGCCTTTCCTGTAGTGGGGCTCTGGGCCCCTCTCACGGGCAGCAGATCTGGGCCCTGAGTGGTGTGAGGGGTGCAGCGTGTTCTTTCTGGGAGGGGCTTGGTGCTTGGTGGGGGTGGTCTTGGGTCTGGGCAGCTGAAGAGAGACAGTGGGCCAGCCCAGCCTGAAGGCAGGGGGTGGAGTGAGTGGATGGGGTGGTCTGGAGGGCCACCCACTGCCCAACTATGAAGACCCTATTGCTGCTTCAGGGACCCCTCTGGAGGCCAGACCTGGTGCAGTGCCCAAGTGACCACTGACCCTTTGGTCCACCCTTGGGGCCTCCTGTGCCCAACCCTGCACTGGACGGCACAGTACAGAGCTCCCCTCCTGGGCATGGTGGTCTCTCCCCATCTGTAGAACGGGTTGTGCCTGATCTCTGCTGAGACCTTAATAGATAAGGGTGATCTTTGTGATTTGTTGTGGGGGTGGAGGAGGGGATGTTGGAGTGGGTTCCTGGACAACAAACTGAAGCCATTTATTGTGCCTTGTGGGAGGCGGGGCAGGCCCACTGAGGGGGCTGGAGGTGGGACAGGCCTCAGGGGGTCCTGAGTCACCAGGGTGGCCCTGGGGAGGGGATGTGAGTGTGGGCAATCACCTAGCCACCAGGGCACCCCATCCTCCCCTGAAGTGTGTCAGGGTGGTATATCCAGTGTCCATGTCTTGGTGTGCACAAGTGTGCCCACCCAAGCTCTGCCAAGTGTGTGAGTGTGTTCCACTGGGCTTCCCACAGGCCTACACTTCATGGTGGAAATGCCTCCTGGGAGGACAAAACCGCCTGAACCTTCTCCATTCACTCACATGGCAGGTTTCCTGAGCACCTGCCCACGCAGCCGCCACCTGGGCAAAGTGGACGCCTTGGGGAGCTCAGCAGACGGAGCTGCCTCTAGAGACATCACGAGCCCTGGGCACCACGCCTCCATCAGTGGGTTAACAGCGATGCTATGATTGGCGGGTGGCTACCACAAAGGAGGGGCCAGCAGATACGGGGGCACCTGGTGGAGGGAACAGCCAGGCAAAGGAAGCAGGACCACACCTGAGGTGACCAAGGAAGAGTGCGGGCCTGTCCAGAAGTTACGGGGGGCCTCAGAGCCTGGGGGAGGGCCTGTGGCCGTGGTGGCTTTGCTTTGTGTAAGATGAGGGGGTCTTGGAGGGATATGAGCAGGGTGCGACCTGACCTGGGGTCCCTCTGGCTGTGGCCACCTGGCATCTTCCAAGGTGGGCCAGGATCCCATGCCAGAGCAGGCAGACCCTGACCCTCAAGACAGTGAAGCTTGCTCTGCGCTGCACTGACACTGACCAGGCAGAGGCTGCCGGCCCTCCTCCAGCCAGAAGCTGCAGTGACAGGTGGGACATACCCAGTAGCTTGCACAGCTGTGGGGAAATTCTTGGGGAATTAGCAAGAAGCCTCTGCCAGGGCTGGATCGGGTGGGGCCGTGTACAGAGGGAGCAGGCGCACACTCCCGTAGGGCCCCAGGGCCTTGTCCAGGTGAAGGTTGAGACCCTGCAGATGTGGGCGGGCCTGAGCACTGATAGGAATGTCATGTGAGCTACATGTGGAATTTTAAGTGTCCTAGTAGCCACACTAAAAAAGTAAAAAGAAGCAGATGAAATTAATATGTTTTTATTTAAGTCCATATATTCAAAATAGTATCTTTTCAGCATGTAATCAGTATGAAAATTATCAGTGGGACATTTTATGTTCTTTTTGCACTAAGTCTTGGGAAGCAGTGTGTGCCTTGCATTCACGGTGTTGCTCACTTCAAAGTGGCCACATTGCATGTGCTCAGTGGCCGTGCGTGGCTCGGAGCAGGCAGCTGTTGGGGGGCTATGCAGGACCCTGGAATGATGAGTCCTCTGTGGTCATTCTCTTGTCCTGCTGTCACTCCTGGGCTTCTGTGGGTGGTCCTCTTGTTCTGCAGCTCAACCCCACACAATGCCTGAGCACCCGCATGTGTCAGCCTAGACATAGGGCTCCCTCTCACTCAGTATGAACAAACCGGAACACACCAGCTTCTGAATTTCTTCCCCCCATTTCAGTGGATGAACCTAGTCTCTACCCAGATGATTGGGCCAGAAATTGGGAACCTTCCACTCTTCAGCCCCCAACACTCACACACTGTGCACCCAGGCAAGTGCTTGGCATCTGCCCCCCATGTCTCCCTGAACTGAATTTCATGAGAAAATAAATTTGTGGTGCTTAGAGGAAAATGTCTAGCTTTAAGTGCTTATGTCAGAGAAGAAAGGTCTGAAATCAAAGCCCTGAGGTTTCTCCCTAAGAAGCTGGAAAAAGAAGAGGGACATAAACCTAAAGAAGGAGGGAAATGATACAAATAAGAGCAGAAATTAATGAAATGAGAAACAAAAGAGAAAATGAACAAAACCAAAAGTTGTTTCTTTTAAAACATCAAGAAAATTGGGAAATCCCTAGCTAGGTTGATTAAGAAAAAAAGAGAACACAAATTACCAACTTCAGGAATGAAACAGGAAACATTACAGGTGCTACTGACATTAAAAGGATGATATGGAAACAATTTCATTTCAATAAAATCAATAATTTAGTTGAAATGGACAAATTGCTTGGCAAGTACAACTTACCAAAGCTGTCAGAAGATGAAATAGACCATGAATAGTCCTGTATCTAGATGTTAGGTTGGATTTCTGGATGTCCGAGTTTACCCATCTTCAGCGCCACCTCCCCAGGCTGACCTGCCTCCTCCTCTCTCCTGCCTGACATCAGTTTGTCTTTTGTCATGTGGTCAACATGCACCAACTCGTGTAGACTTACCACACCCCATGCGGTGGCATGTCCTTGTCATTCCCACTTTCAGATGAGGGTACTAAAGGGGAGGAAAGAAAGAGCTGAATAAGGTGCCCAAGGTCAGCACAGTGGGTGGCTGAGCCCAGATTGAAACCCAGGCATGTTGTGGAAGCTTCCCAGGAGCCGTGCCCTGGAAGACACCTGCCTGGGAGGAAGACTCCTGCCTTCCCTGCCAGCCTGTGTGCAGGTTCCTCCCAGAAGCCCATTTGAGCATGTCCTTCCCCTACTAACAGCTGTCTGGAATGTTCCCTCTAGTAAAGTCCAGACTCCTTGATGTGCCCCGCCCCAGGTCCTCTGTGGCCTGCCCTCACCCTCCCTCAGCTCTGATGCCCCTGTTCTTGTCTGTGCCCTGTGCCGCACTCATGCTGCCCCACACTGAGTGGCTGGCTCCCTGCTGCTCTGCTCATGCCAAGCCACAATGCCTGTTGTGTCCTTGTCATTTGCTTGTTCATTTGGGGTTTTCTAGTCACTTAAATGACTAAAAGGTTGCCAGACTGGCCTGGATAGAGTCCTTCCAGGAGATTCACTCTTCGTCTCCTAGTAGCTGAGCTTCATGGAGAGCATGCTCTGCCATTTAGGAGCTGTGTGGCCTTCATGCCCTGGTGTCCTCGTCTGCTCACGGGTGAGGAGGACCTGGAGTGTTGGAAGTGCACTGGATCGACAGCCAGCCCTGGCAGTGCCTGGCCACCATTGTTACCAGTGGTTTCTCCCTCACCCCAGGAGCCACTCCCCTGTCACGCTGCAGTCCTCCATATGGCCATGCCTGTCATTGGTTTTACGGGACCTTGAGTGTTTGGCATGGGGGGTTGCCGTGGGAGGTGGTGTCTGCATCCCACACTTGGCAAACAGGACCTCACGGCCTGCGGTTCCCCTGCTCCAGTCGGCTCGGAGGCAGCCGCCCTTCTGTAGCTGGGCCCTGCCCTGTGAGCCGCTGCCAGCGTGAGGTCAGGAGCCCAGTACGGAGGTCGGGACCCTAGCACGGAGTCAGGAGCCCAGCGCAGGGATCAGGAGCCCAGTGCAGGGGTCAGGAGTGTGGGCTCTGCAGCTGAGCTCTGCCCTTCTCACCAGTATTGCCTCTTCCAGGGTGGCCTTGGGAAAGTGGCTTCTCCTTTCTGGGCTTCTGTTTCCTCATTTATAAAGTAGCAATGTTATTAATAGTACATTTTTCTCAGGTTTGTTGAGATGGTAAAATGAGTTAATGTGCCAGCTGTGTACCCCTCACGAGGCTGCCATTGTGGTGATGGCTTCTGCTTTTGTTATCAGGAGCTCTCAGGTCCCTCATGCAGCGGCAGTCATGGCGGGGCCTTCAGGCAGAGCACTAGGCCAGTCAGTGGCTTCGACTCTTGAGCCTGGGTCTGCCATCCTAGGGAGCAGCAGGCTGGGTCGCTGAGTGCTGGGAGCCTTCCACCAGACATGGCCCTCATGTGAGCTGGGTCCAGGAGAAGGGCAGCCTGGGAGGGCCCAGGGTCTTGCCAGCAAAGGCACTGTTCAGTGAGGATGGAGGAGGGAGCCTGGGCACCCGAGCCTGGCAGGAGCCACACTCCATCTGTTTCCATAGGCTCAGGCCCAGCCAGTTATGGTGTGGCGCAGTCATTGGGCACATACTTCTTTGAGCTTTTTCTCAGTCCCGTTCTAGGCCCTGGGTGCAGTACGAAGGAGGCATATCACCATCTGCTCTTGTGGAGTGAAGTGTGGCTAGGAGGACTGCATTGAGTGTGGCCACAGTCCTGCCTGGATAGGGGAAGATAGGGGGCCAGGCAGGAACCCTTGTGCAGAGGGCATAGCCACCGGGACCTGGGTGGTGTGTGCCTGATTCTGGGGGCAGGACAGGACTGCCAATCCTGCCCCTCCCCAGCAAGCAGGACCACGGATGCAGGGCCTTGCAGACACTCATGTGCACAGCTGCATGCGCTCACATGAGTCCCCATCCCCAAGAGCCTGCTGGCAGCGCATCTCCTAGGGTAGCCAGCATCGCCTGTACCATCTGTTGTGCGTCTTCATCCATCCGTCTGTCCATGTATCCACCCATCCATCCCTACATCCACCCATCTGTCCATCCATCTGCCCATCCACCCATTTGTCCATCCACCTGTCCACCTATCCATCCATCCGTCCATCTGTTCACCCATCCATCCACCCATCCACCCGTACATCCACCCATCTGTCCACCTGTACATCCACCCATCTGTCCACCCGTCCATCCATCTGTCCACCCACCTGTCTGTCCATCTGTCCAACCATCTGAACCCCAGCAGAAGAATGTGGAACCACCTAAGGGAGTGACCAGCACTGGCGGCTGCGGTCTCTAGAAACTCTGGATCATTTGCAAATGACCTGCCTGAGCTCCTCTCCACTGTGCCCACCTGTGCTTGGCAGTGGTGATGAGACAGCCCCTGCCTGCTAGCACTCACAGTCTTACACAGGGGGATGGACAGACGGCAACCCCGCTTCACCTTCCGAGGGACACTCAAGATGGCAGGAGCCTGAAGGGCTGCCTTGCCCAGCCTGGTTGGCATGGAGAGTGGATGGAGTGTGCAGAAGGGCTTCTGGGAGAAGTAAGGCCCTGGGTAGGTGTGGGCCCAGAGGAGAGGGGAGAGAGCCCTGGGGTCTCGTAGGCAGTTGATTTTCCCTCATTCTGGAGTCTCTGACAGGGCCTTTCTCCTGCCCACATGCCATGTGGTGACCACCTGCTGCAGCAGGTGCTGCCATCAGCACAACAGGACTCCAGCCTGGACATTCCCCCTGGCTGAGCCCACAGGGCCCTGGCAGTGGCCCAGCTCTCTGCACTCAAGTGTTGTAGGTTGAGTGTGCGTAGAAGAAAGCCCAGGGGCTATGCAGGCAGATTATGAGGTGGCAAGGAAGCCAAGGACCCATGCAGTGCCCCCACAAGGAGGTACACAGCTTTTCTTGTACCCCAGCAGCATCTGTGGGAGGGTTGCCCTTCTTTGCAGGTGACACTGTTCCCTGAGGCAGCCCTGCCCATGTTGGCCACAGAACTGGGTCACTTGGGAGTAAAACTCATCTGAGCTGGGCATGGGTGGGTTTGGGGGGGTGGTGATGGCAGCAACCAAAAACAAAGTGTAGGACACATCCACCAGTGCAGGACATGTCTGCCAGTGCCACATGTTGTGAAGAAGAGCTGCAGGGGAGCGGGCCTCCAGACTGGGTGGTGTGCACTGTCGGCCCCCTGCCTGACCAGAGGACCCTTGACCCCAGCGCTGAGGTGGCAAGGTGACCACGTGGCCCTTGGGGTCCACAGAAATTGGGTGGTTGATAGTGGAGCAGTGGCGCTGCTAAGGGTAGGGCAAGGGGAGCAGGTGGAGCAGGGAGCAAGTCGCCCATGGGAGGAGCATGTTTGGGGTGGAGGGAGGCGTAGAGTGGGTTCTGTCCTTGCTAAGTGGAGGGGCCAGCTAGACATGTGGGGAAGGCCAGTAGTCAGGATTCAGGGGCTTGGCCAGGCCTGGAGACATACACGGGGCTTCCCGAGCAGAGCCCTGAGACAGATCCGGATAGCCCTGAGTTCCGGGGTGTGGGGGGCACCCACCATCTGGCCTGGGACCCTGCACTGAAGGCTTTAGGGGTACAGGAGAGACCCCTCCAGTGAGGGGAGCCAGGGCCCACACTTAGCTGTTCCAGGCACCTGCTCCAGGGGTCACTGGGCAGCTTTTGGGGTTCACAGACACTGGAAACTGGGGGCTGGCCTGGGAATGGGCGAGGGCTGTGGAGATGGGAAAGCAGGGCATCTCTTGTGGATAAATACAGCTCAGCCCTTTCAGCATCTTTTCACTCCACCCAAAGCTCAAGTTCTGGCTCAGAGAGGGCCTGGGCCAACATAGGGTCATGTACTGGACCTTCGACCGGGAAGCTCAGCCACCCATTGCAGTCCTGCTAGGCAGGGGCATCTTGACCTTTGGTGTGCATTAAAGTCACCTGAGGAGCTGAGGAAAGTCTCTAAGCCTGTACTCCTGAAGTCCAGTCCCTGAGGGAAGCTCAAGAGTCCCTAAAGTCCCCCAGGTGACCACCATTTGCAGCAGGGCCAAGAGCCAATGTCCTGGATGGTTGAGGGCATGGGGAGTTGCTTCCCTAAGAGGAAACTGGGTTGCTGTGAGAGAAGGAGTGGAGGCTGGAAGGCCAGAGCAGGGGTGCAGTGTGTGTGCACATGCGTGTTTCCACATGGACACAAGGTGGCAGGAGCTGGGCTACTAGGAGCCTGTGCTCTGTTTCTGCAGAGGCATCTGGAGTTGGCCATGGGGGGCACTGGTTCCTTTTTCCTGCAGGGACCATGGCACAGCTGAATGGGAGTGTGGGAGACCTGGCCTCCACCCCACATCCCAGGGGGTCTGTCCTGGGCCTGGTGGGTCTGAAGAAGCCACAGCTCCCTTCTCAGGATTTCCCAGGATCTGCAGCAGAACAGCAGCCAGGAGCCCCCACCCCCCTACCCTCAATCCAGGGAGTAGGCTGACCCCCCCCCTACCCTCAGTCCAGGGAACAGGCAGCCCCCCCCAAGCCACCCTCTTTCCCAGGCCTGTCAGTGCAGGTGTGACAGTTTATGTGAGACTTGCCAGGGCTGCCATGTCCAGCTGTTCAGGCTGTGCACTGCAGCACTCCAGGACCACTATTCCTGCTATCCTGTAAGTGGTATGTGTATCTGCTGTGACAGTCTGTGTGTGCTGAGGGAAGGGGATTTCTGCTGTTTGCACACAGGTGTTCTGGGGGCGAGTGGGGGTTTCATGTGTGCCCCACTCCAATGTGCAGTCTAGACTGGATAGTGTGCACTGGGGCAGGTTTCTTGGGAGCAGGCAGGGTGAGGTGCCGGAAGTGGTGTCCATAGGTTTCATGTGTCTGCACGTGGTGGAGGAGGCAGCTGGGCAAGTTGGGTTGTGTGTGGTGGCATACCTGTCCACGTGAGTCCAGGGTGGCGTGTGTACCTGTGCTGGCAGGTCTGTGTTTCCCTGCGGGTCTGGGGTTTGCATGTCCCGGTAGGCTTGCTTCTAAGAGTGAGAGGTGGATCAAGCTTCATTATGTCCTGGAAGGGCCAGCCTTGTGCCCAACGCCCACCCAGCGGGTCTGAGCCTCTGTGTGGAACCACATGCTTCCTGCTTGCCAGCAGTGGGAACTGGGAGGCCCTGGGGGGAGGGGTGCAGAGGGGACCTGTTGGGGGGTACAGGTTCAGGGGGGTCTTCTGGGGAGAGGGGTCTGGAAAGAGGGCTGGACACTGAGAGTATTTGATGCTCTAGTCTGCTGGTCTGGGTGGTGTTCAGAGCATGCCAGCTCACAGGAGCATTGTGAAGTTTTAGGGAATTTTAAGCTGGGTGTTAAACTCTTGGGGGCTGGAATCTGCTGTGGTGTGAGTGTTGGCACCACAGGAATTGGCAGGCACTACTAGGTGGGTTTTTCCCCTCCCCCAGGGAGCTGGGCACCTCCACACCCCACCCTTGCTGATTGGGATGAGTTGGGCCTCCCTCCCCACCCAGGAACCAGTTGGATCTGAGCACATCTGGCAGAAAGACCCCTTGGGCCTCCCCCAGCTACCCCCTCTGCCAGGAGGGGTGTCATCTGGCAGGGATGGGTGCCCGAGGCCCATCACCAGTGCCCACAGATGCCCTGGTGCAAGTCCCATGCTGCACTGTCTATGCAGCTGTCGGCCCTGCCCAGCCACATGCTTGGAGAAACTGGGTGGCAGTTATGGCATCTATCTGTTAGTCACTGTTAGCACTGCTATCTTCATCACACACACACACCCATATCCCTTCCACCCCTTCTCCGGTGTCCCAGCCAGGCTCGCCCGGGTCAGGAAGGACCAGCTGAGTCCCGCTCCCTCCCAGGGTCCCCTATGGCCCTCAGGGCCACCTGCTCATGCCCCCGCCCAGTCCTTGTCCTGGGTGGCACCCTAGTGGCCTAGGACATGCACTGCCAGTCAGCTGAGCCACAGGCAGAGGCAGCAGCTCAGGGACGCCCTGGGCATGGCAGCTGGGGTGACGGGGCCAAGGCCTGGGTCCCCACTCACTTCACTGCACTCTATGCGCCAGGACACGTTGTGAGAACAGCTGGGCTGGGCACAGGACTGGTGCAAGGGAGGCCTGTTGGGATCAGTTCTGTGAGGCTTACGAGAGTGGCCCCCTCAGCCTGAATTCTTGGTGCTCTGCTGTATCTCCCTGCAAGCTTCTCCCGGACCCTTCACCCCTAATTCCCCCATTCTCCCTGTAGCAGACAGCCCAGGGTCAGGGGTGAGGCCCTGGTGGCCAGCAGGGCCTTTTCTCTGCCCCTCTGGGGACGGGCAAGCCTGGGCTGAGTGTGGAGCTAGCTGTCCTGATCTGGGGCTGCAAGAGCACAGATTCTGCCTGGTAGGTCTGCTGCTGGTCCAGGAGCTCACGGGGTGGACCCCTGAGATAAGGAATAAGTCCAGATCCACAAGGACACCGAGGATGACACTGCTGGGCTCACCAGTACCTTAGTCATAGTTGACAACTCCTGCCTCCCCCTCCCCCCACTGTTCATTCTCCAAGGCTGTAGGTGTGGGCAGCCCCCCAGCACCAGTCTGGGAGCTCCCACGGGGGCCTGGCTTCCTGTCGCATCTCCACCTACAAACCTCCCCAGGATCTGAGGGGGCACAGGGCGCCAATCTGGCCTCTGGATGGTGGTCTGAGCCAGGCACACTACAAGGGTGAACCTTAAAATGTCTAGAACCCACCGCTGCCTCTCAGCTCCATGCTAGCCCTGCAAAAGCACTTCCCACCTATACCAGCCCATGAGCCGCCTGTGCTGCCAACAGCCTGCCCCAGACTGTGCTGCCAACAGCAGACTGTGGGCAGAACAGCAGACAGACCGTGGGCAGAACAGCAGGCAGACCATGGACAGAATGGGAGGCAGACTGGGCGGAACGACAGTGGTCCTTTGTAATGGTGGCATCTCAAGGCTCTGCCTTGCTGAACTGAGCAGAGCTCTAGGGGCTGCGTAGTGATCCTGTGCTCTTTGCTCTGTTCTTCCTTCTTAGCACCTGTGTGTTTTTACATGTACTAGGAACAATTGTTTTCTTGTAGGCTCCAGGAGGCAGAGACTTAAGTCTGTTTTGTTCATTGCCCAGAACACCCAGCTCATAGGAGCTCAATAATGCTGGATGTTGGACAGACAGAGGGACAAGTGGATGGGTGGATGGACAGATGGATGGACAGATGGGTGGGTGAGTGGGCAGGTGGATGGGTGGATGAATGGACAGACGGACAAATGGATGGACGAACAAAGGCAGGTGAGTGAGCAGGTGGATGTGTAGATGGACAGATGGATGGATGGACAGATGGACGGATGAACAGATGGATGGTCAGACAGGTGAGTGAGCAGGTGGATGGACAGGTAGGTGGGACACATGGCCCAGGGGTGCCCCCCCAGGACAGGCAGGGTACCCTCTGGCTCCAGACATCGACTTGGAGGTCCAGGGACTCTGATCTGGAAATGGAGGCATGGCGTCCTTGGCCCCCAGCATAGCCGGCGGGCAACATCTCTGAACAGCCAAGAAGCAGGCAGAGCTAAAGGGCAGCCAGCTTGGGCTGTGGGATTCTGCTTGGGGACAGAATTTGGTGACCAGCTGTTCTGCGTGTCTGGGATGGGGGTGGTTCCCAGGACATGGGACTCAGGTCTTCAGGGTTTTCCAGGAAATAGGGCTTTCAGGTCTGCCTCTCGGTGCCTCTGGGTCAGGGAGAAACTAAAGCAGAGCAGCCCCGACAGACTCCACTTTGGTGAAGATGGGGTAAGACACTCCCTCTGGCACCCAGTTCAGAGAGGCGATGGCTTTTGTGCGAGAGCGTGAAGTAGAAAGCGTGCCCTGCCTCCATGCGGTTCAGCGGTGTGTGGGTGTATTTCAGCCCCCACTTTCCCTCCCCCCTCACTGGATGTCCTTGTGCCTTGAGCAGCTTGCACCATTGTACTCAGCAGCCCTTTCGCAGGCCTTACCTGTCCCTCAATGTCTCTCCTCAGCAGTAAGGGCAGGGCTCACGGGGTGATGACTGACGGTCAGGGTCAGGGTCAGGGCACCAGCCTCCACTGCAGCTGCACCAGAGCTCCCAGGGCATGGAGTGGAGACTGAAAACTTGCATTCCCAGCAAGCTCCCAGGTGGTGCTAGGGCTGCTGGCCAGGGGCCCCACTTTAAGAACCTATGGACTGGGAGTAGATAGGGCACTTGGTTCCTTACAGAGAGCAACAAGACATGGGACTGCCCGGCAAGGCAGCAGAAGGGGGCCAGCAGGCGCAGGTGACCTCCAAGCATGACTGGGGAGGCCTGTCAGGGTCCAGCTGGTGACAACAGTGACCCCTGGTGGCTTCTAGGTGCCGGCCCTGGGCTCAGCTGCACAGACAATACCGCCATCTAAACACTCATCATGCTGCAAGGGGTACAGTCAGTGTACCTGTCTTACAGATGAGGAAACTGAGGCTCAGGAAAGGCCAGTCACTTGCCTGAGGCCATATAGCCAGGAAGAGTCAGCACTGGGGCCCAATCAGCCAGTGCAGGGTCTGTGGGGGGCACACTCAACTGAGCAGGTTGTTTGCCCTCCCACTGGCACTGCGGGGCAGAGCTCCTTGGGGCCTGGGTGTGGCCTGGGCCATGCCCCTGCAAGCCTCACCTCACTCGGGCTTTGCACATTTGCCCCAGGGACCCGGGTGAGCCCCCACTGGTCATCTGGTGCTGATTGGCACCAGTTCTGGGTCTTGTCGTTTGCACTATCAGCCACACAAGGAAAGGGGCCTTGGACCCTCAGAGGCCCATGGGGGCTCTGCTAGGGCTGCCGAGAGGTGGGGCAGATGAAGGGGCTCACAGCCAGCACCAGGGGTCTCCAGGCAGGAGCATGCTTATGATGGAATGACTAAAGACTTGGCTGAGTCTTCACCAAGGGCTCTGGGATTTGAGGCCTGGGGGGTGGTGAGCATCCCCCACAGGCTGTCCCGAGTTCTGGCCAAGAACTGTAACCTCAGCGTGTTCGTGAGGAGACGAGGCCTGGCCATCACAGCAAGGTGCAGGATGTTCCAGGTCAGAGGAGGCCAGAGAGACTGCTACCCGCACTGGCCAGGCACAGCCAGGGCCAGAGGTGCTCATGTTTCTCCCTTCCATCCACTTTATGCAGGTTTGAAATTATTTCCAAATAAAAAATTAAACACCTGCAGGACTTTGGGTCCAGACCACCCAGTCACTTAAACCTCTCTGGGCCTCAGTTTCTTCATCTGTAAAATGGTAACAAGAACAGTTTCTACTAAGGGCTTTTGTGCGCGCAAACACTCAGCATCTGCAGAGCTGGGCATAGCAGCCTACAGTGTATGGTGACGTCAGTAGTGGGAATCCTCACAGCCTGTCCACTCATTTGGCAGGTGACAAAGCTGAGGCACAGAGGGCTGAGTTGTGGCCCAAGGGCACACAGCAAGGAGCAGCAGGCTGCACTGCCAGCCAAAGTGCTTGCTCCAGGACTGTTGTGCCAACTGCAGAAGGCAATACGGGCACAGCCAAGGGACAGGATTCTTGCTGCTGGGTCTTGGTGGAGGACTCATATCCTGATGGATGAGTGGCTGCCCAAGTCAGGGCCAGGAAGAGCGCCCCATGTCCTACCAGGATGTCTTTAAAGTCAGTGGCTCGAGAAATGAGGACACAGCTAACAGCAGCTCTAATGTCACTTTGTGCCGTTTGCTCTTCTGGGTATTTCTTCCTCACCCTAGTGTGAGTGAGTTCCATCGGCTTGCCAGCAGTCTGCTCAGTAGATCCCCTGGATTCCTGGCTCTGCGGGGCTCTGTCCCTCCTGCCACCCCTCCCTCCAGACCCCAGGTCCTCAGGGCATGTAGAAGTGAGGACCTACCGACAGTGGCATATCATCTCCCAGAGGAGCCCAGCAGCTGCATGGGGGCCTGGTCTGGGGCCTGGGTGGCTCAGGTCAGGGTACAGGCTGGATGTGAAAGGGACCTGGTCTATGTTTGCCTGAGACAGTGTCTCTCCCTGTCCTCAGATGAAGATCACCCTGTCCAAAGGGGGTGACCGGAACAGTGACGACGACAGCGTCCTCGAGGCCACCAGCTCCCGGAGGAGCAGTCCTCGGGACCAGCTCAGTGACGTGAGTACCCCTGCAGTCCAGGGCACCACCACAGCCACCCTGGCGGCCGCCTGTCACCATAGCACGTCCTGCAGAAGGGCATCCGGGAAGCTGTTTGTTGGGGCCCTGGCAACTTCACATGAAGGCTTTGCTAGTGATCTGCATTTTGCCTTCATCACAGCGTGATTTTTTACTAATCAGGACCTCCCATTAGGAGCGATTTAAGGAGGAACAACGATTAGGAGCTGGCAGGAGCCTGTCTGAAATGTTGAACTTGCCAGGTGGCAGCCCATGTGCCAGCGGCTGTGGTGGGGAGGGCAGGCTGGACAGCTGACATAGCCTCAGGGTGGGCACCCTGAGCCACCACGGGGACACCCCCTTGCAGGAGCAGGAGGCGAGGGCGTGCTTAGCAGCTGAGGTGTTTCTTAAAATGTCGGCAGAAGGTGCTTCTCCAGTCCAGAGGGTCTGGGACTGACGGGGAGTCCATGGGCCCCTGAAGGTCCGGTGTCTTGGCCTGGGCCTGGGTCCAGGACACACCTTAGTGTCCCCAAGGGAGGGTCTCTGTGGGAATCAGTGATGGAGTCAGGTAGAAGTGGCCTCGGAGCCCCATCATGGGGGTGGCCCAGGAGGGCGCAGCCAGGGCTCTGGGACCTCCACACTCAGAATTTGGCCAATGATGGGGGCAGGCCCCAGCCAGGGCTTCTGCATCCCCTTCATCATGGGGTGGGAGCAGCCAGGGCAAGGGGCTAGGGTGGAGGCAGAGGGGCCACGGCTCAGGGTTGGGGGGGCCCAGGGCCAGATGGGTTTTCCGAAGAACTAAATTGAATATGTGTGATTCGTTATCATTTAAATGGGGTCCTGGGGGAGGGCGGCCTGGGCGTGGGAGGGAAGCGCAGGAGGTGTAATTGCCCAGCTCCCGATCTTGTTGCCACAAGATGGGAAAATAGGCCGGTAATTGTCTGGGGCTGTGGGGGCTGCCCTAGTTAGCACTTCTCTAATTGCCAGCCCTGGATGAATGAAGATGTATTCCGAGCACAGCCCAGCTGAGGCCGTGAGGCTGCAAACCCGGGGGCAATTATGGCCCCCACCCCATGCAGCCTGCAGGGCCAGAGCTGGGGCTGGGCAGCCCCAGGGGGCTCTGTCCTCTGTCCTCCAAACTGCCCTGAGTTGAGGACCCATCCAGGGTGGGCTCTGCCTGGCACAGCCCCCCCAGGAACTGACCTGGCCCTGGTGAGGGTCTGTCTGACTAAACAGAGGGGGGGTCTCTGCCGCCAATGCGGGCAGGGATTGGTTTGGGGAAGAGCAGTTGGGGGTGCGGCTGAGCCATACAAGCCGCCAGCCCTGGGCTGGTCCACAGCCCCTCCCCTGGGTCACCCACCCTCTTCCACCCTACCCCTCAGAGGTGCCACCAGTTCCCACTCAGCTCCTGCACTCCACGCCCTCCCCAGCTTCTCTAGGAAACCATCCAGCGTGCTCCAGACCCTCATCTGTGGTCCCACCACGCCGAGTGCCCCACGCTGCCTGCTGTGACCAAGCCCCATCTGCCCATCTGTCAGTAGCAGCTCTGAGCCCCTCCCCTGCACCCCTCCTGACAGCCTCTGCTTCAGGGTGGCCAGCCCTGGTGTATGACACCAACCCTAGGCGTCTGTCCTGACAGGCCTCCAGTGCCCATTCGAGCCAGAGGGGGTCCCACCAAGTCTGCTGGGGTCCCCAGAAGGACTCCCCCTGCAGTGACCCCTCCTTCAAGGTCTCCATCCAGCTCCTCCTCCAGGAAGCCTTTCCTGACCCGCCAGGGCATCCTCCCCAAGGTCCTCCAGCTGCAGACTCCTCTGGGGAGATGAGCAGAGGGAAGTTGGCCAGGCTCGTGCCCTGGGCTGGTCCCTCCACTCCACTGACCCACTGGCAGGTGACATACAGGTGAAGTCCCTTTCTGGGGGGGCCTTGCCGTCTGAGAGCCGGCCAAGGGGGCGCCTCCCCCCGGTTGGACCCTTTCCCGAGCCCATCCCCAAAACTGCTGCATGAAATCCTTAACCTGGCCAAGCCCAAAGGGGACGCGGTGCTGTGGGGAAGGTCCCCAGGAGGCCCCAGGGTCAGGGTCCAGGCTGCGAAGCTCAGCCATCTTCCTCTCGCCTGCGAGGGAGTCTGCCTGGGCCTGTCTCGGGTCACAGCTAGACCTGCCACTCTGGAAAAGGTGCCTCGCCACTGCTCAGGGCTGGGGGGGGCCTCAGAGGAGAGGGTGGCACCAGGGCTGTGGCAGCCATTGACTGTCCTTCCTTCCTTCCTTCCTGCAGAGCTCGGCGCAGGCGGTCTCAGGGAGAGGCTACTCCGTAAGTCTCCCGGCCCCTCCTCCCCTGCTGTATTGGTCCACTGGGCTAGGTCCCCACCTCACTTGCCACATGGCCCCCTGACCTGAAGGGCCCCCACTCCATGCGCCCTGGCTCTTCGGAGCCCCCTACTGGTTCTGGCCCGACAACTGTGGGGCAGGTGGAGGGTGGACATGCACTTGGGCCGAGACACAGAGGGAGTGTCCTGCTAGTAATGCCCTTGGGGGTCCCAAGGTTGACATGCTGCCCACAGGGGGACGGGCTGGCCCTGTAGCCATGACCTCTGCCAGGAGCCTTGAAGTGGTCTGCTGACACCAACATGGGCAAGGGCACCAGGACAGGGGGGCGGGCCACTGCTGCTTGGGGTCCTTTTGAGACCCTGGGAGTCATCTGGTGTAGAAGGTGCCTAGGGTGTGAGCAGTGCCCCCGCCTGGCCAGAGAGGCCTGGGCTCAGGCTGTACACTGGGGGACACCACCCAGGGAGCCGGTACCACCCCTGGCAGGCTTGAGCAGGGAGCTCCACATGCAGCCTAAGTGGTGGGTTCATGTGTCTCTGTGGTACATCCCCACAGGTGTAGGGGACACGGCTGAGGGCTCCCTGTAAACACACCTGGTCATCCTGTGCCTACAGGGCACCCTGTTGGGGCATGCTGTAGCCTGACGCCCCCGCCCCACGCGACTCACTGCAGGAACAACCTTGGGGGCGGGGCTCAGGCTTCCTGGCTCCCAGCACTCCCTGTTCCCTCAGGAGCAACCCCTGCCCCCTCCTCATGACTTTATTTCATTTTCCCTTAAGTACCAGGAGGAACGTTAATGACATCATAAAACCCAGAGCTCCATAAAAGCCATTTTTGCAGATTTAGAGTCGTTTCGGCTCATTGGAGGGCTGGGGCTTGGACTCCGCCCGCCTCATCTCTGCAGCCCCTGATTTACTGTGGATTGCGGGGCCTGGCAGCCTTTCTCTCTAAATCACAGTGGCTTTTTATAGGGTGTGTAATTAACCCATTAATTATCCAGTGTGGCTGGGCCCAGGGGGAACTATGGCCTGGTGGGGACAGCTCCCCATGTTCTCGTCCTGAGACTTCTACTGGTTGCTGTAATGGAAGTCTGTGAGTGTGCGTGAGGATAGCCAGCTCACGGGCTGTGAGTGGACCCTGTGACCACCGGACCCTCGAGGAGTCCCAGGCAGGAATGGGGCCAGGTGCCTGGGTTGAGGAGGAAGGGCTTGGTGTGGCCCCTCCCACCCCTATGACACTGCCTCCTGGACCCAGGGTCTGTTTGAGCCCAGGGCTCATCTCTAAGACCTTGCCTCAGCCTCTAACCCTGGGTGTGGCCAGAGTGGCTTTGAGCCTTTGACTCTGAGAGTGGGGGTGGAGGTAGGGGTGGGGTTGGGGGGCTGTGGTCCACTTCTGGGAGGAGGTCCCTGGTGGCAGCTGCCCAAGGGACACTTCCTGAGGAGGACTTTGTGTCCCTGTTTGCAGCTGTGTAACCCACACAAGGTGGTTGTAATACCCTGAAGTGCCGTCGTCATGGCCACAGGCCCCTCATCCTATGTGGGGCTCCCTCCTCCTTGTGGTGTCCTGGGAAGTATGGTCGGCTGCATCCCGACACGCCGCAGCTCTGATTATGTTTCATTCAGCAAATATTGACAGAGCCACGCCAGGCGTCGGGCTGCAGCCATGGACCAAGCAAAGCAGTCGGTGGCGTTCATTTGTCAGAGCATGGAAGTGGCCAAGAGCTCCACGGGTACCTGCACTAGATGGGCTGAGGTGGTCGGAACTGGTGCCCAGTGTCAGGGGAGGCACTTGGGCAGCAGGAGTGGCAACCTGAGCCCTATCTCCAAACCCCAAATGTTGGGGGAGGTCGGGGCGCTCTATAAGCAAGACCTCACGGCCCTCCTGGGCTCCTGAGGCCAGGCAGGAGTAGGCGCCCGAACTGTGTGGGTCTGTGTGACATTTTGAGTGTCAGGCAGGGGTCCTGTGGCTCTGCAGGGTCAGGGTGAGGGACAGAGCCAGTGAGGCATGAACATGTCCTGGCAGGGCCAGACTGGCTGGGCCGAGGGATGTCCTGGGTGGCACCCAGCCATTCTGAGACTCCCAGGGCGACTGAGGTCCCCCTGCCCGCCTTCCAAATCCTCATTCGTCATTCAGGCCTTCTTAAAACACTGCTTTGAATGTTTTCTGAAAAAACCTGCAATTAACTTGCCAGCTGCTTGCACCTAACCCCTCATGGCCGCTGCGTGGAGCGACAGATGGCGGCAAGGGGGGCAGCCTGCTGCACGGGCTTCACAGGGTTCCTGTCCGAGCCGAAGGAGACCAGGAGGGCCCTGAGGTCTGCAAATGGTCCTGTGTGTGTTCTCTGGGCCCTAGCACATGCAGGTGTATGTGGCAGACTCTGGCATGTACAGACAGGCCTCCAGGGCCCTGCTATGTTTGGGTGTGTACCTTGGTCCCTGGTCCAGGGTGCAGATGGTCAGCCCTGGCCCTGGAGTGTGTTAACTAATGTATGGCTCTCTCTGTGTGTACCTGTGTGTTGACATGCATCTGTGTCACACACGTGTGTCCGTGGGTACAGCCCTGTGTGGTGGCCTGTGTGGGGCTATGCACACCTTGTCTAGACATGCCACATGTTTCTCTCTGTGCCTCTGTGTGCATGTGCATGTCTCTGTGTCTGTGTGTTTCTTTGTGTGTGTCTCTGTGTCTGTGTCTGTGTGTTTGTGTGTGTCTGTGTGTGCTTTGTCTGTGTATTTCCATGTGTCTGTGTGTGTCCGTGTCTCTGTGTCTGTCTATGCGTTTATGTGTGTGTCTGCATGTGTGTCTGTGTCTGTGTTTCTCTGTGTGTCTACATGTGTCTCTGTGTCTTCTGTGTGTGTGTGTGTGTGTGTGTGTGTGCTGCAGTGTGCCCTCTGGCTTCTCAGGGCACCCTGGGTACATGTGTGTGTCCATGTGGCATTGAGTGTGGGTATGCCCCTGTGCCTGTGAGCACTCCTTGCTGCTGTGCATGTCTGTGGTGGGGCCTGAGCCCCACCGAGGAGCCACAGCCTGTCCTTGGCTAACCCGACAGCGACTGCTGTGCTAAGTGGCAAGGGGTGCTTATCACCTGACCTGCCTTTATAGACCACACTTAAAGTGGTTTGATTTTGCCAAGATATATCCCCAGCAAATCCCCAATTATTGCTCATCCTCAATGGCTTTTGTCCCGAAGCTCGGCGACCTCCCCAGCACGCCATCAGATGTTCGTTAGCACCATGAAATTAGTTAGAAAGTAATTTTCTTAATTTGGCTGCCTGCAACCAAGGACATGACAATTGTCTCCTGCGAAGCAGGGGGCTTGGAGTTTCCTTTATTAAACAGAAATGAGAATCTGTAAACACCTGCTGGGGTGGCAGCTGCTCCTGCAGACAAGGATGCCGGCCCCACCCTCCCCCCACCGAATGTGCAGAATGTTCCAGAAGGGGGCTGTGCCCAGCAGGTGTGGTGGGTGTTGGGACTAGGCAGGGAGGTAGGACAATAGCCTTGTAGCTGATCCCATGCAGTGGGTGGTCAGCTGCTAGGATCACCCGTTCTCCTGATGGAGACACTGAGGCACAGGGAGGCTGGTGGCTGTCCATGGGCACTCAGCCTAGTGAGGATGCAAGACTGGGGCTGGGACCCTTAGCCATCCCTTTCCTCCCCTGGACGTGTTCCAGCCACCCTGGACCATCCTCCACACAGCAGCTGACCCCTGTCACAGTCAGGGAGAAGCCTCCATCGATGGTGGCCCTGCCTAGACAGCCCACCTCTGCTCCTGATAGTGCCCCTGTGACCCAGTGCCTTCAAGAGCCTTTGCCAACCCCCCACTGGCCAGGCCTCCTCCAGCGAGGCCACAAACCACCTGACCATCCCAGGGTCTGGGCACCACTCTCCACCCACAGATGGAGGTGTGAAATAAATCTGTCCACTTTTTCATTTCCTTCTCCCTAGTTTCTACTATGCACCAGTCACATGGCTGGAAATGTGCCCACTGCTCATAGACAGACAGAGACCATAAATAGAGCAAAGGAGTAACTGCCACAGCTGGAGAAAAGTCAGGGGGAAGGGTCAAGGCCAAGGTACACACAGGCATAAGCTTAAACAGTGTGGCCGAGAGCAGCTGTGCAAAGGCCCTGGGGTAGGAGAACACAAGGTATGCTTGAGGAACAGCAGGGGGCAGGGGGTGGGGTAGAGTGTGGTTGGGATGCTGTGGGAGGTAAGGGTGGGGAGGGGGCAGTGGATGGGGGTCTAGGCAAGGTGGGGGAGGGGGCAGTGGACGGGGGTCCAGGCGAGGTGGAGGGAGCAGTGGACAGGGGTCCAGGGAAGAGAGGGGCAGTGGACAGGGGTCCAGGGAAGAGAGGGGCAGTGGACAGGGGTCCAGGGAAGAGAGGGGCAGTGGACAGGGGTCCAGGGAAGAGAGGGGCAGTGGACAGGGGTCCAGGGAAGAGAGGGGCAGTGGACAGGGGTCCAGGGAAGAGAGGGGCAGTGGACAGGGGTCCAGGGAAGAGAGGGGCAGTGGACAGGGGTCCAGGGAAGAGAGGGGCAGTGGACAGGGGTCCAGGGAAGAGAGGGGCAGTGGACAGGGGTCCAGGGAAGAGAGGGGCAGTGGACAGGGGTCCAGGGAAGAGAGGGGCAGTGGACAGGGGTCCAGGGAAGAGAGGGGCAGTGGACAGGGGTCCAGGGAAGAGAGGGGCAGTGGACAGGGGTCCAGGGAAGAGAGGGGCAGTGGACAGGGGTCCAGGGAAGAGAGGGGCAGTGGACAGGGGTCCAGGGAAGAGAGGGGCAGTGGACAGGGGTCCAGGGAAGAGAGGGGCAGTGGACAGGGGTTCAGGCAAGGCTCTTGCTCTGGTGCAGTGTGAGGGGGGGCTGGCACAGCATTTCCAGCCGGGTGGGGCATGATTGGGGGAAACAGCACCTGCTCCTCCACAGGCCAGGGGCAATGCCAGAAGCAGAGGGCTCAGCAACCCCACCTGCCTCTCCTGGATCAGTCTG